TCTGCCTCCCCAAGTGCTGGGATTAAAGGCGGGCTGACTATTTTTAATTAAAAAATATTAAATTTATTGGAACTAGAGAGATGGCTCAGAGTTTATGAGCACTGGCTGCTTTTCCAAAGGACTCAGGTTAATTCCCAGTACCTACATGTTGGTTCTTAGCCATCTATAATTCTAGTTCTAGGGAATCTGATGCCTTTTTCTGGCACCAGACAATCAAGTGTTATATAGACATGTATTCAGACAAACCACACATTTATGTATTTGTGTGTGGGGGGGCACTTAAGTGTATGTACTCATAAACACATGGGTTTTTTCTCTTTGAACCAAGTGGGTCCTGGGGATTGAGCTCAGGTCATCAGGCTTGGTAGCAGATGCCTTTACTCACTAAGCCATCTCTCCAACCCTGGACAGCTTATCTTTAAGAATTGCTTCTAATATTCCCTTATCACTTTCCACACATTTTGCACATTGCTATGAATGTTCTTTGACCATTGGCTGCCAAACTTTGACAGCTCTGTATGCAGGGAAATTATCCTTGAGCATGATATGAACATGTCTCTCACTTACATTCTCCTGCTGGTGAAATGACCCTGGTTCTGAACGCAAGAAATCTGGGCTCTGTTTCTGGTTCTCCTGTGACTGAGGTTTATGACCTTGACAAATCATTTCACCCTTAGAGTCCTTAGTTGTTTCCCTCACTATAACGAGCTGAAACTAAACACCCCCAGAACTATTGCAAAGCAGACAGAGGGCCGTAGATTGCACCAAAGTTGTCAAGGGTTGCCTAGAATGCTAGAAACACTAAATTCAATCATCAGCAGGCATACATTGGGTGTGGTGGCACATCTATAATCCCAACAGCACTCAAGACTCAGGAAGATCTGAAGCTCACGGTCAACCTTGATCACACTGTGAGTTCTAGGCCAAGTAATGCTGAATGAGACCCTGTCTCAAAACAACAGCAAGGAAGTCCCAAACCCTGAAAGAACAAACTGCAAATAACTCTGCATCCTTCTGAATGATGCAATTACGGGTGTGTGCCACTTTGGCTATACTTGGCTATTACGTCATCCTGGAAAGATGGTACCACTTTTCCAGCTTTGCATCTCTATGTGTTTCTGGAATTCAGAACTCTCTAGAAAACTCATAGAGGACCTGCCAGCAAATCCTCCCACCCCGAACTGGAAAGCCATGTGTTTGCCAAGCACCTGGCATAGCACGTAATACTGATGGGGAAATCCCTGTGCCTCTTCCCTAGAACCAGTAATGGTGGCACTGGACATTTTCCTTAGGGGTGACAGAGGCCACGGGAATCCCTCAGGGCACTCCTGCATTAACTGCCTTTCCCAGAAGACTGTGGTCTTTATGCCAACATCAGTGTCAGATACAAAGCACAGGGATGCGGTGCCTGCATAGCATTTAGGATAGCACCACCCTCGGACCAAGAAAAATACACTTTCCTAGAGGTGACTACTTTCATCATCAGATGGAATAGTGGTGACATTAAGAACAGGGGAAATATAATAATATAAATAGCAAGAACACATTTGTACCACCAAATGTTCCAGGTGCTTTACTTGTGCTTCCCATTTATTTATGCTCTCTCTCTATCTCTCTCTCTCTATCTCTCTCTATATATCTATCTCTCTCTAATCTCTCTCTATCTCTGTGTGTGTGTGTGTGTGTGTGTGTGTGTGTGTGCTATATATATCTATCTCTCTCTAATCTCTATCTCTTTCTCTCTCTGTGTGTGTGTGTGTGTGTGTGTGTGCATGCGCGCGCGCGCAGGTGTGTGCGTGCGTGTTTGCGTACGTTTGAGTGCATATTTTACATGTGTGAGAGCACAACTGTGTGAGTTTCTGAGTGTGTAGGCAAGGTCTCAGCGTTCACCGATACGGCCAGTCTTGCTGGCCAGCTTGCTCTAACAGTCCCTGTGTCTGTCTTTACTTCTGTGGCAAGTGCGTTAACCATGGAGACATCTGTTTATCAAGTGCTTTAACCATTGCGCCATCTTCCTGCCCCTATTCTCTCACTTAAACTCAGTTAAGTCCTATGGAGCAGGCATAATCATCCCCATTTTAGAGGACAGGGAAACCAAGGGGGTGGAGAAACTAAATACCCTGTCTCACTCACCAAATGAATTGAGCCTAGGTTATATTGCTTCAGCTCTTGGCTGTTGCCTGACATTTGGAAAATATTTTACTTAATTAAATTTTTGTTTTGTTTTTTGAGAAAGGGTTTCATTATATAGCTTTGGCTGGCTGTAACTCGATATGTAGATGAGGCTGGCCTGGAATTCACAGAGATCAGCTTGGACTAAAGGCATGCAGTTCTATACCTGGTAAGTATTATTTTTTCCCATTATCGATGAAGATGCTGAAAGAAAAAAAGATAAACAGCCGGGCGTTGGTGGCACACGCCTTTAATCCCAGCACTCAGGAGGCAGAGGCAGGCAGATCTCTGTAAGTTCGAGCCCAGCCTGGTCTCCAGAGCCAGTGCCAGGATAGGCTCCAAAGCTACACAGAGAAACCCTGTCTCGAAAAACAAACAAACAAACAAAAACAGATAAACAACTTGTCGCACTCGTGAGGCCTGTCCGCAGCAGCCAACATGCACTACATCGCCTCTTTCTTGCTTGACGCTCTTGTGGGCAACTCCTCTCCTAGCACCAAAGACATTAAGAAGATACTAGACAGCGTGGGCATTGAGGTGGATGATGACCGGCTCAACAAGGTCATCAGTGAGCTGAATGAAAAAAACATTGAGGATGTCATCACCCAGGGTGTTGGCAAGCTTGCTAGTGTGCCTGCTGCTGGTGGCTCTGTGACTGTTTCTGCTGCCCCTGGCTCTGCAGCTCCTACTGCTAGTTCTTCCCCCCGCCGCAGCAAAGGAGAAGAAAGACTAGAAGAAGGAAGAGTCCAAAGAGTCAGATGATGACATGGGATTTGGCTTGTTTGATTAAATTCCTGTTCCCCTGCAAATAAAGCCTTTTTATGTATCTTGGAAAAAAAAAGATAAACAACTTAACCAAGTCTCAGTGATAAGGCTAGAGCCAGATAGAAGCCCTGCAGTTTCTAGTTCACTGTCATTACCAGGGTATCGTGCAAACTTATTGTCTTTGAAATGTACTTTTGTCTCTGAGAAAGGAAGGTGATTGCACAGGCTGTGAAAACGCAAGGGGAACATATGGATATGGCATAAACGTGAGGAATGACACACAAAGAGAGCCTCTAAGAAACACAAAAGCCATCCATCCAAGAATCAAAGCTTTGACTGAACCTTCATCCTGCTTTACCAGCTGGGGACCTCCTTAGGACCCAATCATGTGGAGAACCCATAGGGTTGCCTTCTGTTTTGCTTTTCCTTAAAGTTATACATACATCAGCAAAAGTAAGTTTATATAAATGTTTTTCTTTGAGACAGGGTCTCACTATGTAGCCCAGACTATCCTGGAATTCCCTATGTAGACCAGGCTGGCCATGAATTCACAGAGATCTACCTGCCCCTGCTTCTTGGTGCTGGGACCAATGGAGTGTACTATCACGCCTGCCAACAAATATTTATTTTTAAAATGTAGGGCACCATTGTAGATAGACATTTAGAAAAAAGTGACTAGCATATAAGCCTTTGGGGGTTGGAGGGCTCTGGTAGCTAACAGAAATAAGTAGATGAGAGAAGAATGTGCCTATATTCCTACCTTTCCAATATGATCTGAAGAACCAAATCAAAACAGAGAACCTAGGGTTGAGGATTTGCTCCGTTGTTAGATTGCTTGCCTGGCTTGCCCGGCTTGCCCAGCTTACTCAGCTCTAGCGTTGGTCTCTTAGTACTACAGAACCACGTGTAATCTCAGCACTGAGGAGTTAGGGAGTTAGAAGTTCAAGGTCAGCCTTGGCTACATAGTGACAATAGCCTGGGGAACAGAGACATGTCTTAAATTAAGAAAAAAAAATGTGGTGGCACTCTGGAAGCAGAGTCTCCATGAGTTTGAGGCCAGCCTGGTCTACATAGTGTGAGACTTTGTCTCAAAAAATCAAATAAAAATAACTGAAATTAAATGTAATAATATGATTTAGCTTTTGTAAAAAAACAGAATACTGTAGATAAATTTATGTTTACATGCAAAAACTTTTGGACATTGATCACATTGCTACGTTTTGTGTATGGGATCAAGGGGTAAAGAGACAAGATACCTTTTGCCTCTAACTTAATGTGTTTCAGTGCAGCTTGGTTTAACAATAAAATGCATTGTTTTTATAGTTCGAAAGCTCAGATAAGCAGGTTTGGTGGCACACACCTGTAATCCCAGCAGGCTGACCCAGAAGAATCTCCCATTGTAGTCCAGCTTGGGTTAGCAAGCCCCTATTTTGGGGGGATTTTGTTTGTTTATTTGTTTGTTTGTCTTTTTGAGACAGGGCTTTTCTGTGTAACAGCTCTCTCTGGCCATCCGGGAACTTGATCTATAGACCAGGCTGGCCTCCAACTCAGCTATCTGTCTCTGCCTCCTGAGTGCTGGGATTAAAGGTGTGTATCATCACCTTTAGGTTCTATAGGCTTTTTTATTGTTGCTGTTTGTTTTGAGACAGGGTATCACTACCAAGTCCTGGCTGGCCTCTAAGTCACAGAGATCTTCCTGTCTCTGCCTTCCTAGAGCTGGGATTAAAGGTGTGCACTACACCTAGCCTAATGTAGATTTTTTTTTCTCTAAGATTTCATGGAACATAGTAACGTTACCCTCAAGTCATGTTTTCAAACCACTCTTTGCCATTTCCATTACTTATAGTAGTTTTTACTTCTGGCTAGTGTATTCTCCACGTATGCATGTTCAAAGCTGTTTAGAACTGACTGCAATGTTATTCTATGATCATTTATAATTACATTTATTGAAACTCCTGTTAATCATTCACTGAAGTTTAACTTTTTCTACCTAATGGTTAGAAAAAGTCAATATTATTCTCTTGAAGGTTTTAGAGGGCCATTTTTACCCTTCAAGTCTGTGACTCTTAGAAATAACAGGGTATTGTGGATGTAGAAACCTTCTTTGACAATTTTCCACAAGCAGTTCTATCAGTTATTTAAGTTTGATTTAAAGCATCTCAGAGTAATGCTAACTATGAAGCCAGGCATGGAAACACACACCCGAGATTCCAGCACTTGGGAGGCAGAGGCAGGAGGATTTGGGGTTGGAAACCAGCCTCACCTTCATAGAGAAACCCTGCTTGAAACAATAAATGCAACAAAAGAAAATAAATAAAAAAGGTTGGGAGATGGGATGGCTAAACTTGTAAAAGTGCTTGTAGCGAGAATGTCTGAGTTCAATCCCTGGAAACCATATGATGGAAGGAAAAACTGTACTCATTCCTCCCCTCTCCTCCCCTCTCCTCCCCTCCCCTCCCCTCCCCCTTCCCTTTCCCTCTCTTCCTCCTTCCTTTCCTGCCTCCCTCCCTCCCCTCCTCCTCTTCCTTTTCTGGATGTTATGATTTGAAGGAGGGGAGCCCACAAGCCACAGCACAAGCAGGAGGTCAGAGGACAACTTTCAGATTCTGTTCTCACCTTCCATCCTGATCTGCCTGCCAGAAGAGGGCATTAGATCTCATTATAGGTGGTTGTGAGCTGCCATGTGTTTGATGGAAATTGAACTCAGGCCAATGCTCTTAGCCTCTGAGCCATCTCTCTAGTCCCAGGGCTAATCTTTAACCACAGTACTCCAAGGCAGAGACAGAAGGGTCTCTGTGAATTTGAGGCCAGCCTGGTCTACAAAGCTACACAGAGAAACCCTGTCTTGAAAAAAACAAAAAACAAAAAAAACCAAAAAAGAGCATGATGAATGCTCATTGACACTCCACTCAACTTTTTTTTTTTTTTTTGGTTATGTATTTTTTTTCTTTTTTTTTATTAAATTATTAATATTTTCACATGTACTTTCCCTCTCCCTCTCCCTC